TTCAATCTTATTCAATCTTCGAGTTCTTCGATTTTGACCTTCAATCATCAAAATCTTCGGCTGCTTCTTCTTCAATCTTCAATCTTCGGGCCTTCGATGTCTTGTGATCTTCAATCTTCTTCAATATTCGGCTTCTTCAGACTTCGATCTTCAATCTTCAGTTACTTCTTCTTCAATCTTCAATCTTCAATCTTCAATCTTCAATCTTCAATCTTTGAGCCTTCGACATCTTGTAATCTTCAATCTTAGGCTACGACAACTTCTTCTTCTTCAATCTTCAATTTCGACAGCTCCGACGAGGTTTGTGTTTCATTGTTGCTTAGTTTTGTTTTTACTTTTTACTGTTATTGTTCTTGTTATTGTTATCAACCTATCATTGTTGTTGTTGCATGGGGATAGATAGAGTCATAAAGATGGAGGATTGAACTGATGAAATTGAATTTGGTTCTGTTTTGTTTGCTGTGAGATTGTTTGTGTTTGAGATAGAAATTGTTTAATATTGAAGAAGTGATTATTTGGTGTGAGATTGATTGTGTTTGAGAATTGAAGTGTGCAAAAATGGAGTGTGTTATTTCCCATGTATACAGTGTGCCAAATTTAATTGCAAATTTCCAAATTATTGCTAAAAGAGTATAAGATAAGTGGTAACATTTATTTTTGTTGTTACTGGTTGCCATGGAAGAGACAAAAATCAAGAATGTCATCATTTGGGTATGGGCAACATTCTTTGTTCGTGGGTGCTTCCTCACATTCTTATCGAGGAAGGAATGATATAGCATGGGAACGTATTGTTGAGGGCATTGATCAAAATGGAAGGAAGACATTAACATATCTATATTGTTCAAAGGTAATTAGAGGGGGAGGTATTTATCGTATGAAACTACATCTAATGGGAGTAAAGGGAAAAGTTGGAAAGAGCTCAAATGTTCCTTTTGATGTTAAATTCTAGATGCAAGAGGCACTAAATGAAATTAGGTAAAGAATACACAAAAAGCGAAGTCTTGTAAGTATACACATCCGTATGGTACAACATTCATGGATTTGAAGGTGACATGTTAGGTGAAGATTGTCAAGAGGTGCCTTTATCATAAATGACCATGAATGCATGTGCTTTTGGTAGTAAAAAACCACATACAAGCACTAATAGAAATATACTAGTTGGGATTAGTGACTACTTTGCTTCAAGGACTACTCTTGGATCTCAGCCATCAATTAAGAGTGTTTTGGCTGGGAAAGAAGCTATGTGGAGAGCATATTCGGCTTTTGCAAGGTTTTTTTTACGATGTATACATCCCTATCAATGCAATAAATTCAATTTATCTTCAGCCTTTGGCAGATGCTATAACTGCAATGGATCCTAGGTAACCCAACTTATCATGCTATGAGAGTTAATTTATTGAGAGATGCTAAGAAGGAAGTGCAGCTACTTGTAGACAATTATAAGCAAATGTGGGAAGATGTTGGATGTACATTAATGGCTGATGGTTGGACTGATAATTCTCAAAGGTCATTGATTAATTTTCTTGTGTATTGCCCTAAAGGAGTTTGCTTTGTGAGGTCAGTGGATACTTTTAATGTTATGAAGGATGTTAGGACATTGTTCACCTTACTTAAGGAATTGGTTTTATGGGTTGGACCAAATAATATTGTCCATCTTGTCATCGACAATAAAACAAATTATAAAGTTATTGGAAGAATGTTGGCTGAGAAATATGAGAGTATAACTTGGTCGCTTTGTGCAGCACATTGCATGAACTTGATGTTAATGGATATAGCTGAGATGGATCACATAGCTAGCCTTGCGAAACGTGCATCTGACGTGATAAAGTTTGTGTATAATCATACATATTGTTGATAGCAAGGCTATGGAAAAGACAAGTAATGTATCTTTTAGCCTGTTTTCCTGTGAAACCATAAGTCATAACATATTAGTTATCATCAAGAAAACAACTTTATTAACATCTATATCTGTCACTTGAACAGGGTTGGATGGAAATTGTACGCTCGCGCGCAACCAGTTTTTCTACAACTTTTAATGCGTTGAGAAGCCTACAGGATCACAAACATGACTTGCAAATAATGGTGCTAGATAGATTCTTTGTGGATTCTAGATATGCAAAAAGTCATAAAGGCAATGAGGCTATTCCCATAATTCTAGACAATAAATTTTGGGATCAAATGTGTAAAGTTTTTAAAGTTGGGGCTCCGTTGGTGTGTATGCTAAGGATTGTAGACTCATATGAGAAACCTGCCATAGGATATGTGTATGATGGCATGTATAGAACGAGGTTGGGGATCAAGAAGTTGTTAAGAATAAGAAGAGATTGTACAAGTCTTATACAAGCATTATTAAGTTGTGTTGGTATAGGATGTTATGTCGTTATATTCATGCTGTAGCTTATTTTTTAAATCGGGCTTTCCAATATGATCCTACATTTAGTGCCAAACCGGAGGTTCAATGTGGTTTCCTTGATGTTGTTGAGAATAAGGCATGTTCGTTCAAATTAAAGAAGGCTAAGTTGGTGGAAGAGAGTAAAATATTTAGAGACCGCGAGGGGAGCTTTTCTTGGGAACTTGCAATTCAAACATGCAATCACACGACCTGGTATGTATTATGTAATAGTTATTTAAGTTATGAGTTTTAAGTTTGACTTTCATGTTATGAAATAATGTTTTTTCTTGTGTGTAATTTTCCATTAGATGAATGGTGGAAAACATATGGGTACAGTACTCCAAATTTACAAAAGTTTGCAATTAAAATTCTCAGCCAAACTTCAACCTCTTCAGGGTGTGAGCGAAATTGGAGTGTTTTCGAGCGCATACATTAAAAAACGAGGAATAGATTAGAGCATCAACGATTGAATGATCTTGTCTTTGTTTATGATAACTTGCGGTTGAAAAACAGATATAAAACATTGTTGATTACGCCTTACTCATTTTCTTATTATTCTTATTTTCCTTGATCTTCCAAGATGAGTTATTTGTCATGCTTTTAAATTTTAAATTTTAATAGTTAAAAATGGTCTTCCAAGATGAGTTACAAGAAAACAAGTTTCGATCCTATTGATTATGAGAGTATCAACAAGACTGAGTTTTGGGTGGTTGATGATGAAGGGGAGGATGCTGAGCTTAATTATGAGGATTTGGAACAAGCACTTTATGGAAAGGGATTTATTCCTATTGGTCCTAGTGACCACCCTTCATATTATGATACTACAGAAGCTTCCAAAGGTTCTAACTTATAACTTTCCTTTATGTTATTTAATTTAACTTACATTAGTTAATTTAGTGTTTTAAAATTTATATTACATTAGTCAATTTAGTTTACAATAAAAAATATTAACATATAATTTTATTTTTGCCTGAAATCTTTTGCTGATGCTGGTTATGCTGATGATGACGATGACGAAGATGATCATGATATAAGTAATTTTACCTCTAGATCTAATGCCTAAAATTAGCCTTGACTTGACATGGAAATATAATAGGAATATAGGATTGGTTTCATTGTGTTGTTTATAGTTTATAAGTGTATACTTTGTAGTGTTAATTTCATTTCAGATTTGGCTGAATTTGTTACCAGAGTTTATTAATTATTAGTGTTAATAATCTGCATTTTTAATTTTTTTTTATGTGTTTGCTAATGTCAGCACAATGATGTCATGCTGATGTTAGTATGATGATGTCACGGTCCGACTTGCTAGTCGGATCGGTTCACCCAACCAACCCGGGACTCAGTGACCTTAGGCAACTCTATAAAATATACTTATCGTGAAAGAGGCACAAAAGAGAGCAAATGACATGTTCCTACCCTAGTTTCATAGATTCTAGATTCTCACCCTTAAATTAACAGAAAATTGTTTAATGTGGTTAAAGGGTAAAATTGTCATTCTAAACCCAGATCTCATTCACCTTCTCTCAACTCACCACCATTTCTGGTGCTGTCGCCGGTCGTTTTCTGTGGATTCTTGCTAGATTTCTCACCCAAATCGACAGGATTCATCACCCTCAACCAACCAATCAAACTTCCTCACACAACCAAACAATTAATCAGCGAAATCAAAAGAAAAAAACCTAGAAAAATCACAATAGTAGTTGTGCGCCCTCCTCTCTGCCTCTACCTCCACTCCCAATCACACCAGATCCACCCAAGATTTGATGCGATTGGCCTGTTTCCTCGCGCAAACAGTTGTGTCACCCACAAACTTGGCCTGTTTGTGCTGTTTTCCTCGTCTCACCACCTCCAACACTGTTGCCATTTTTTGGTCAATCCAACCTTATTTCGACACTATTGGGTTGCTCCAACGCTACCATCATCTTTCCCTTAACCTCCGCTTCAAACCCCCACCCACCCCCTCTCACCAATTGCCGACCATCACCCTTCGTCGATTTTATGCTTCAAGCAAAATTTTGGTCGTTCTTAATGTCAGAAATCAACCCCATCACCACTAATAGCTTCATTGGCATCCCACCTCAAAAACCCACAACAGCCTCGATCTTGGTTGCTCGTTGTTCGCCGTTCGTCACTTCCCTTAGGGTTTTGCAATTTGGTGAAAATTGAGTTTAATTGGAGGTCGATTTAGGGTTTTGCAAGGAGTTTATGGTTTGGGATTGATTGGAGGTTGATTGTGCTTGATTTTGGGTGGGTTTGAATTGGGGTCGTTTGGTCGGCTATGGTGGTGGTTTGACTGGAATTAGAGGGCATGAAGATGGGAACAGAAAGGGGGAGTGAAGAAGAAGAAAATGGGACGAGGAAGGGGAGATGAAGAAGGAGAATTTAAGAGGGTAGATTAGTAATAACACTCTATGCATTTGTGTCAGAACCCAACAATCACTAATGACATTAATTTAAGGGTGGAAATGTGGAATATATGAAACAGGGGTGGGAACTTACTGTTTCGCTAAGCCTTGGGTGGGAACATCTCGTTTGCTCCATAAAAGATGTTATATAAAATCCTTCCTATTTATCATGTGTCCTTAGACATTTCGGGTTAATTTCCATGCCTGCCTTCTCACCACGGCCAATTAAAATCGCTATCACAAAATCCTGCTCTCTCCCTTCCATCATAACTCTCTTAAAAACATCCAAACTTCGAACTCATCTTCACCAAGTACACTCTCACCTTATCAAAAAGGGCCTTCAACAAGACCACTCACTTATCTCCCATTTTATTTCTCTTTGTCACTCACTTGGCACCTCTCTCTCATACTCCACCTCCATTTTTAATCAGATTATCACTCCCAGTACCTTTCTTTGGAATACCCTTTTAAAAGGGTATTCCCAGAGGGGTTGTTTTATCGACATTTTGAAGTATTTTATTCGAATGATTAGGGAGGGTGGAGTACCTGATAAATATACGTTTCCATTGGTAATTAAGGCTTGTTCGAGTGAACTTATTTTAAGAGGAGGAACTGCGATTCATGGGGCTGTGATTAGGTTAGGATTAGATGATGATGTTTTTGTGTGTACTAGTTTGATTGATCTGTATGGTAAATGTAAGGAGATTGAGTGTGCCCGCAAGGTGTTCGATGAAATGACGAACAGAAACGTTGTTTCTTGGACGGCGATGGTTGTCGGGTATGTGATTGTTGGTGATTTAGCAGAAGGGAAGAAGATGTTTGATTTAATGCCGGAGAGGAATATAGTGTCGTGGAATGCGTTGATTGGCGGGCTAGTTAAGATAGGTGATATGAGCAGTTCTAGGAAACTGTTCGATGAAATGCCTGAAAGAAATGTGATTTCTTATACAACGATGATTGATGGTTATGCAAAATCAGGTGATATGGCGTCAGCTAGGTTGTTGTTTGAGGAAGCTCCGGATAGGGATATTGTTGCGTGGTCGGCATTGGTAACAGGGTATGCACAGAATGGTCAGCCTGATGAGGCTGTGAAGATTTTTTATGAAATGTATTTGAAAGATGTTAAGCCGGATGAGTTTATAATGGTGAGCTTGATGTCCGCATGTTCTCAACTGGGTAGTTTGGAATTAGCTAAGTGGGTTGATTTTTATTTGAGTAGGAGTGAGGTGGATCTTAGTCGAGGTCATGTTATTGCCTCTCTTATAGACATGAATGCAAAGTGTGGGAACATGGATAGAGCGGCAGAACTGTTTGAAGCTATGTCTAATAGAGACCTAATTTCATACTGTTCAATGATACAAGGATTGTCGATTCATGGTCATGGCGCACAGGCTGTCTTCCTCTTCAATAAGATGATAAGTGAAGGGTTGATTCCTGATGAGGTGGCATTCACAGTCATTTTGACTGCTTGTAGCCATGCTGGCCTTGTGGAGGAGGGTTCGCATTACTTTGAATCCATGCAAAGTGTGTACTCTATTGTTCCTTCTCCTGATCATTATGCATGTATGGTTGATCTTCTCAGCAGGACAGGACACTTAAAAGAAGCATATGAGCTTTTAAATTCAATGCCTGTGGAACCTCATGAAGGTGCTTGGGGTGCACTACTTGGGGCCTGTAAGTTACATTGTGACTTTGAGTTAGGAGAGTTAGTTGCCAAAAGGCTTTTTGAGCTTGAGCCACTAAATGCTGGTAGTTTTGTGCTTTTATCTGACATCTATGCAGCAGCAGACTGCTGGCTGGATGTTTCTCTTGTGAGAAAGGAAATGAAAGAGAGGGGAGTTAGAAAAATACCTGGTTGCAGTCGGATTTAGTTTATAAGACTGAGTTTCTCTGTATATTCTATTGGTTTCCTAGGATCAGAGATGTGCTGGAATTCCAAGTTTGTGTAAGTCAAAATCTTTTCTCTCGGGACCCTTTTTTGTAGAATTAAATATGAGGGAATTCTAATTTCTCTCCAAATTGGAGAGTAGAGGAATTAAGCTGTGCAGCTTTTTATCTCGTCCACGGTCTCAATTTTGTGCAATCTTACTGAGTGTAAAGGCATTTTTGTTGCAAATGTTAAATTCATCTCCTAAAGTTGGTGCATCACGATGTGGTTATTACTCTGTTGAATGCAAAAAGGTTTTGGAAGATCAATCCAAACTGTCTCTGCCACACATTACACTAATATCTATTAATTAATCCTGAAGCAGAATTCAAGCCCCCAATTGCATTTACTGTTTCCACATATTAAGGGTTTGGATTTTATGGTGAGAGATTTGGGAAGCTGGACAGGAAGGAATATGTGTAACATGAACCTTGTGATGTATGATTAGGGTCAATAAAGGAAAGCTTAGTCTAGGATTGATGGCAATCACAGAATTCCTCTTGTTCTTCGTTTTAGCAGGCAAATCATGCTGGGGCTGTTGGCCTTTAGGCAGAACTTGCAAGCAACATAGTTCATTCTGAATTCTCCAGGTTTTTGTAGATTAATAAAGAGAGTAAATATTTTTGTTTAGTTTGTAATGCAGCCTTGTGAACCAAAAGTTTATTAAAGGTATGTTAAAGGGCTCTAGATCTTTCAATTTGTCGCGGGAGCAAAATGATTTCTATAACACCTTGATTTTTTTTTGAAATTATGTGTAGGATTTGGTTGAATCAAAGAGATCAGCAGAGATTTTATGGTTGTTTTGGTGTTCTAACTACTTTTTAGATTTCTCCTCCTTCACCATCTTTTTATATGTTTGTTTAATTATTTATCTATGATTAAAATTATGCTGTTCTGTGGAATGGAGATGCTTTTGGTCTACTGCATATTACACGAGCTGTCGAGGAAAAAACAGTTTCTTGCTGAATTAAGGTGTATCTTTAAGCAGTAGATAAAATACAAGATGAAAAGTTGTAAGGTATGCTAGATTTAAACAAGAAACTAGATTTTATTTTTGTATAATGTTAAAACAAAGTTGGAATAAGCTAATTCCTAGAGATATCAATCACAAAAAAAAAAAAAAAAAAAAAAAAATTCCACCGTAACATCATTAGATGCTCTTGAAGAAAAGAGAAATGCAAAGGAAACTATCTGTATAACACTAACGATGGATGATAAATTCATTCAGCTGCAACAATAGGATGCTAGCTCCCCTTTCTCCTCTGTGATAATATATATAGTGATGTAACTGTCTGCAATTTGATGATCCTGATCAACCATATTTGACAGTTGAGAGAATACTTTCTCTGCCATCCATCTCTCTAGGCCTTTCCTAGTTGCACCATATTTTGTTGATGCATTGCATACAATCTGGGTTAATGCAGAATCTGAAGGGCATACGGTGATTGTTCTATCGCCTTCACTAGATTGTTTACTTGCCCATTCTCTTAACAGAAGCCGAGTAGTATCCTTGAGAGGACAACGCCAGTTCATGAGGATCATCTTGTCCAAGAACTGAAGCAACTCTGGTTTGAAGAAGTGCAACCCTTGCCATAAAACATGAGCAAGCTCTATATTACGCATGTCTTCTTCTTCCACATCAGATGTCATGATAATCAGAGTATTTCTCAAATCACTTGCATTCTCATTGCTTAGACTGCTAATCAAAGTGTCGATCACAGAAGAATGAGCCTTCTCAATCTTGTCAAATAGTAGAACACTGTATGGTTGATTCTTCACGGTTTGAGTTAGTGAACGAACGAGACATGAGACACTATCAAGGTCAGGCTCCATATATTGTTCCATGTCAATTCGCGCAAGGCAATCTTCATCATCATAAAGCTCAATGGCAATGGCCTTGGCGAGCTCTGCCTTCCCAGTCCCGTAAGGACCCACCAGCAGAAACGAACCAACTGGCGGTCCTGACCAACTACTCTCACCCTTATGCTTCAACAAGACCTCCATGATTGCTTCAATTACATGATCCTGTCTAACTATCCTCTTCTGCAACCGTTCTCTAAGCCGCGTGTATCTTTCCTCAGGCGGAGTACGAAGCCAAGAAACTGGAATTCCAGTCAAATCACTAGCTATTTCCGCAGTTTCTTCTATACCAATAACCTGTGTTTCCTTGAACTTGTTCTTAACCTTCGCATCAAGTAGTTGAAGAATCTGAAAATAGTTATGCGTTCTCTCTACATCATGCACACAAGAAACGAAATCATCATGATTTACACACATTCGTTTCTTCACAAACGAAACCAACTCAATGAAGTCACCTTTCAATTCCTTCTCCAAGTGGGAGAGCCAAGAATCTCTGTTGCAGCTATCAGCATTCTCGTTGGTAAGTTGTTCAAATTCAACCGATGCTCGACGCAGAGAGTATTTGAGTTTATCAAGTTCTTTCTGGTGATTCTTCATGCTATGTTTTCTTTTGCAGGCCTTGTTAAGAACATCAATGGCTCTCTCACGCAATTCACCAGCGGTTTGGTTTTGGGGATGCATGGCAACATGGGCAGCCAATAAGAGAGCCTCATCCTTAAATAGAACGCCGTGGAGTTGCTCTAACCTTGATGTTTCTTCACGGATCTCCTTCAACAAAACTGTGTACTCTGCCATTACGAGAAAATCTAATTTTGACTGAGGAAGTTTTAGTTGATTAATTTGGTTCTATTTTTTATACTCTTATATAGAAGAGATTTTTAATTTTCTAATCCTATTCTGATTTCCCAATTGACTTCTGATTCTAATATTGTTTTGTTAAAGGAATTCTCATGAGTATAGGAAACCCAGAGCCAAGAGGTTCCAATTACTAATGGTCTTCTTTTTCTATTATAATATCTAAACTTTTTAATGATTATTTTTAGATTGTCAACCTAAGAAAACCATTAATGTAAGAGTCAGAATTGGAAAAACCGCTAGGATATTAGCATTCCTTTATCACTATTAACATCTTTTTTACTTTTTCCAATTATCAATAACATATTCCCCCTTTTCCTATCAGAAATAAAAAACTAAGAAACTACATTGATAGCATATGAACACTAATCTAGTTCAGCTAAGTTTTTTCATATAACCTGAATGAACTATGAGGGGAGGGACTACTATCAATGTTGTTTGGACTCCCATTCCATAATTGCGGAAAGAAGTGAGTAATTTGGTAAGAGATCATTGTTTGCCAGTGGCAAGTTAGTCATTGGCGATTTATCATTTTTCTGAAGCCATTCCTCCATTGCTTCGCGATCGTAAGTGTAACCATCAGCCGCAACACAAGGCTCCCTCATTACATCCTATACATATAACAAAAAAGACACCATTGGTAAATCATTATAAGTACAAATTGGTACGGAAGTAATAAGAATTATATATAATGGCAAATAATAGTACAGGCATACTTTTAGTATTGGGCATATGAAATGGGTAGGAGCTGCAGGTTTAATACTTGAATCTGAATCTCGAGCTCTGTCAGCAACATCCTTCAATCTCTTCAGTGCAGGAAGTATTTGATCTTTTAAGTCAGGTCTGTCTCTACGTCGAAGCTCTGCACAGCTCAGTCCCAACACTGCCAACTCTTTTGCCTCTTTAGTTGGCCAATTCCCGGCTTGTGAATCTAAAATTTCCACCAAAGTATCCTCCTCAATTGCTGTTTCCACCATATGAGCTAGAGCTATTGCCGTCTTTGCTGTCAGTAATTGTAAAATTACCATCCCAAAAGCATAAACATCAGATTTTGGAGAAATTAGCCCTGTTCTTTGATATTCGGGATCCATATAGCTGAGCGTCCCTACAGGCCCTGTAGCCATGTATGCAGAGGATACCAAGAGAGAGTCTGAATTCACCATTGTTGAGAGGCCGACATCACCAATCTTGCTCACCAAGTTATGATTGAGCAAGATGTTTGCCGGCTTCAGGTCACGATGGATAATGGGTTTTGGCTTCGAGTTGTGAAGAAAAACAAGAGCTGAGGCTACTTCCCAAGCAATTCGGAACCTATCAAACCATGGGATGGGTGGTGTATTGTTCTTTTGATATAACCTATCCTCCAAGCTACCATTCTCCATGTATTCATAAATGAGGCAACCATGAGCAGTACATGCACCAAGAAGGAGAAGCAAATGCGGATGGCGAATTCTGCTAAGGATTTGAATCTGAAAATTAAAAAAAGACGAGATAAGTTTCCACCAAAGTGGAGAATTCACAGTATTCCAACATGCAGTTTGTTCTATCACATGAAAGGAGAAAAACCATGGTGCAATTGAAGCTCAAAAAGCATTGCTTACTTTAACAGCAAATTGATGGAGATCCTTACAACATGTCAGTGTCTTCTTTTCTTTTACTGTAAATAATTTATTGTAGATTTTTCTTACAAAGAGTAATTTCATACCTCCTGCTGGAATTGCTTATTTTCGTGATTCCCTTTGGATCGAAGAACTTTTACTGCAGCAATTGTATGATGCAGATTGCACTTATAGACAGTTCCATATGCTCCCATTCCAATTTTAAGGTTTTCTGAAAATGATGAGGTGGCAGAAGCAATCTCTTCCCATGTAAACTCCTGGTATTGCTGAACAGAACCAACAAGAGCAATCTCAAACTTTTCTTTTTCTTTAGATTCATGCAGAGCTTGCAACTCTGCTTCTCGTCTTTGTAAAACTTCTCTTTCAGCACATTCCCTCACATACTCGGCATCCCTTTTTGCAGCTTCATATAGTTCCTTCTCTAGTCTTGCTGATTCTAAGGCTTTCTCCTCCATAAGGTGTATCTCTTTGAGCTTTGCTGCTTCCTCTAATTGACGTTTGTTCAGATTGGTCATCTGAGAAAAAGCAGTAGATGGAACAGATTAATATAAATATAATCAAAACCAAGATGAACAAATTGTCTTGTATGCAAATCCTCCTATTGTATAAATTAAATCATAGAAAGTTCTGTTTGTAGTTGTAGAACTTGAGGAAGCGTGTTAGAATGTAATTACTCTTCTTGAGTTCCTACCTAAAAGCTTAATGCAAACCTGGGGTAAAGAACTAAGAGTGCAACTAAAACAGGCGCCCTAATACAAAGAATATGTAAGGCTTTCTTGCTTAGTCAATATAGAAAAATTCCCCACTGTTTATAATTTACTATCTGTTAGTGTTCACATCATAATTATAATCAAATTTAAAGTATGCGAGGACTAGGTGGTTCATACTAAAATGGTATGAGAAAATATGATAGAGATTAGAAGGCATTGCATTAAAAGTTTGGTTCAAAGAATGGATGATAAAAAAAGGAGTTACAATTTTGTTTTGTCAAGAGGATGCCCAAGACAAACCTGTCGAGAAGCATCAATTGCCTCACTTTGAGCTATTGCATACATTCCTCGAACGTGTCTAAGTTCAACTCTCAGCTTTTGTAGCTCAAAGCTAACGTTTTCCTGCATTGATTAGAAAAAGTAAAAAAAAAAAAACATCAAAGAATATAGATACCTTACGGACCTCTGTTTATTGAACTTAAAAATATAGAATCTTTAAGTAAATTTGTCTTTCCAGAAGAAGTTGCTTTTTTTTTTTTTTTCTGTTTCCCGAAGATAATATATGTGACTTTCTACAAAACTGTATTTTGGTCAAGACTGATTTTGTAAAAATGAATTAGTTGCTTTAAGAAAACTAAATATTAGGAATAATAGATTGAACTACCATAGAATTTCATTACAGCAAAAACAATTTCAGATATCCAAGAACAAGAGAGAACTTAAACTGCACAGGTTCACTACCAGTAGTTGATTATTTTGGAAAGCAGCTTATAAGAAATGTCAATCATTAAAGAAATTGAATTTCCATTGATGTCCAATAGAATACTAAGTCCAAAGAAAATGGAAAAGCTACCTGGCTTACGGAGGAAGAACAGTCAGTTAGTCCATCTGAGATGGAAACATGTTCAGATGAACTCTGGTTATCTGTCACGAGACTCAGGTAACTTGAACTTCGACTGACTGGCTGTCCAACTCCTGAACTACTGAGATAGGAACTCATGGAATTCATGGAATCCTGCCCTCTCTCAGTATCCAAAGACTGGCATCGTGAATGATTGGGCTCGGACCGCTCGGTTGAGTTTGTTGTTGAACGAAGAAGAGTATTATTTACGGTTGAAAGAGCCTGAAATCGCTGAATTGGTAGGGAAGGAGAATGGAAATGAGAATAGGAAGAAACGGAGTGAAGATCTGCAAATTCCACAACATTAAAATATAAAAAAGTTGTGTTAGAATCCCATATTAGCTTACAGTGCCTGGAGAAATTTTACCAGCATGGAAACTAAGCTAAAAATTTTCTATTCATCAAATTTTTATCACATTATTCTTGTTAAATACGGGTGAACTTGGTGAATCAAATAAAGTTACATAAGCAATTCACCAGGGCATGATAAATCATTGTTCCTCACAGAATACAATCACATCTTTGGATAAGCAGATGTAGCTCAAACCTGAAGTGTGATTGCCTGTTTGGGAACTGGAACTGTAACTTGATGAACTGTTGTTAGAGAAACTGTCACTGCAGTCATCTTTAATACTTTTATTTGTAGCTAAGTGAGGCGGGCGGATGGATGACAATTTTCCTTTTGAAACAGCATAGATTGTACAAAAGCTTGGAGTACAAAGTGAGATTCTCGAGGACAGATCATCCTTCTTAATTTTCCTGCAAAAATCATCTTGTTACCTACAAAATTTATGTGTGAAGCTTGCAAAATTTGAGAATATACAGCATTTACACAAGTTACAGCTGTGATATATTAATATACTTGCTAAAACTAAAATTACTTGATGATGACTGATGCTCATCTTGTTCTATATCTATTTCATTTGCCTCCTATACATCACCAAAACAGCTTAAAGAGGTACCAGATTACTTTTCTTCCTTTGTTTTTTTATTAATTTTCTTTTTTTTTTTTTTTTACAGGAAACGGAAGAGAATAAATTACTTTTTGCATCTCTCTTTTTACTACAATACATTGATTACTTTCAATCATCAAATGTATGCATATTATCTGCACTATGGCAAAAGCATAAAACTATGAATTATTCAGAATGAGTATTTTGGGTTACAAATGCATGGTGTTCATATACAACCAAGGCTCCCAGCTTGTCCAACGACATCTCATGTCTTTTGTAGTGTCATATCCCAACAACTTAATTTTTTTATTTTTTTATTTTGAGGGATTAAAAGCTTGTTTAAGAAACCACCAATCCATTCTAACATAATTTCATCTCAACTTGTTCAAAAAAGAAAAAAGAAAAAAGAAGGGACTATCTTGAAAATCAGTGCTGCAATTTGACATAATCTGACAACGGCAAACATATACTACCAGCAGGAACTGGATAACTCCCTTGTGTTTCAAATAGTTGTAATATGATAGTAAAATGTAAACTTTGAGACAGCATATTTTACTAAAATTTGAGAAACTGATATCAATTTTCAGTTGTGATGTCTTTCCATTCAAAGTGGAGTTTTACAGCATGAATTTATACCATTGCACACCAGCTTAAATGCAAATCAATTTGACTATGATTTCAAGAACCACGATACATTTATGCTGGATAAATACCTTGAAAACATGGTGTAAGATGCAGCACCTATAACAAGTTTGTTAATGGAGCAGTTTGCGACCTCCTCTGCAATTGCTTTTGCCACATCATCTGATTCAATTATTGTTATATCTACTTGCACCTACATGCAGAATTATGCAAATTAATTTCTACTTATCGAAGATTCATACATGAAAAATATTTGAAAAGGAAAATTTACCTTTTTCTGAACACACATTTTTTTATAAGGCTGCAACATTTTACTCCTCCGCCATTCCACTTCCTGCTTATAAGCAGCTGCTACGTCATCGCGTATTTGTGAAATAGGAATGAAATTTCCCACTAGAAGAAAAACTAAGTCAGATAGCCAGAAATGCTGATAATTTCATTTCTTTCAATCAATAAGGAATCCTCCAATTATTTCTAGAAATGTTCACATGGACAAATATCAGTTTCATGGCATGATTTCTTCTATAAAATTCATTACCGAGACGCTACTGACTGCCACAACTGTTAGTCAAAATCTTTGTAAAACTGTGAGCATTAATTCGGCGGGCAAATAGAAACTAATATGAAAAGCTTTTACAGTGATTCTCTAGCTTATAATTAAGCATCAAGTTGAAGAGAAAAAGGGGAAGGAAAAGTTGTTTAAGATAAAAGTTAACTTTTTCTCTGTAGAATAATTATCTGAAAGAAGCATAGCTTACTTGGTGTAGGGACTGCAGTAATCCTTGGGCAGACATGTAACAACTTGAACAAAGTGATTCCCTCGGGAACGAACTTTTCCAATGTCCATGAAATAACATTCTTGCTTTTTCTATTTCCCTTGACAGCAATTGCAACAATAAAAGCAGGAGGTGGTGGCAATGTGAGCTCGCCTTTTGGTTCGACAATTTCTTTTACATCCATTTTTCTTCCACTTCAACTAGTGCTGAATCCTCTCTATCATCAAAGGAAAAATACCATAACAAACTAGTCCAAGAAATTGTATTAGAATCAAGGCAAATAGCTACGAGTTTTAACACACTCAACAACTACAGAATCTCAAAGAGTGAATAGTTTTTCATATTTCTTACTTCTTAAGCCAACCCCATATTGAAATTTGTGAAACCAAAAATTCAAAACCTTTTCCACAACATGACTCTTTACATGAAATCATGATGAAATCAAGGCAAAACATAAACAAATATACAAAACTGACCATGACAAGCAAGAATAAGAGCGAGAAGTATATGAATAGGCTATAAGGAAAGAAGTGATGGGAATAAGGAAAAAAAAAGCATCACTCCTCTTCAGAATCAGATGTCATATAAACAAAATCCTTTCCCAGATAACAGTCTATCTCATCAACAAATCAACATCTTCTGTATTAGAAAATGATGCAAAAATAAAATTTCATAAGGAAACCATGAAAAATTCTGCTTCCTGCATTTATTTGTTTTGGAAAGGTAACAGAAACTGATAGCAAAGGGCAGGAATGTCTGTGATTCCTGAATCTCAACAGACATGTAAAAACGTTTCATTTTTATCATAAAAATCCAACCTTATTTATTCGCTAATAAAGCTTCAAACGGAAACAAAATTAATTTCCCAACCATGATACTAAAAAACTTGAAAAAAAAAACAAAATTAAGTATCAAAGAACAACACAGAATAAGGAGAACCCAAAAACAGAAAGCAAAACCATAGCGGGTTTTTACACCATCAAATTAAGAGTTCCCTCAAAACTCAAAATGAAGAAGAAGAAGCCAAAAACATACCAGGCTTTTACTCCATGAAACTCTGAGTTGCTTCAAACTGGAAACAAGAAGAAGAAAATGAAATGGTTTTGCCTCAACAAGTAGAAAGTAGAAGAAGAAGCTTGGTTAGGTGACAGAGTTGCCCCACAAGCAAAATTGATATTGTTTCTGCTATATTTAGAGACAACCTTGGCGTGAAACATTAACCATCCACGAAACTTACGTTTATAAACTAATTTTTTAAACAACTATCCATATAAAAACAAAAAAAAAAGATGAGCTTGGTGCGATTATGTTGTTCTACTACTTTTCAAAGAGATTGTTTTGTTTTCCTCTTTGTAAACGGAAGAAGCCACTTGTTTTATTTACGTTTGAGTTCGTTAAAGTCCAGTTCGGAGGAGAGGACCCACTTAGCCGTTTGTTAATTTCTAGTTAAGTTTGATAATGCTAATTAGAGTGAGGTTTATCTTCATTAATTAATTGTTTTATACTTTCATGGAAGGTTTCAGTTTATTGCCTGTAATTAGACGGAATTTTATTAAAGTTTTATTTTGTCAAACTTTTTATTTATTTATTAGGAATATGCACAGAAATCCTCTTAAGATATGTTTGATTGAGAATTCTAATTAATCTTACATAAATAATTATAGAATAAAAGTCTATGTTCAATGCGAAATTTTTATATCAAATTCAATTTGTAATTGAAAAAAAAAAAAATGTTGAATAAGTCAAAGTGTTGATCCATTTCAAACTAATTGATTTCGTAATTAGATTCACTAATCAAATTTAAATCAGTTTATAAATATGGTAAATCCATATGATTTGCATATAAAATTATCATAAATATTAAATTCGAAAAAATATATTTTAAATTAAAAAATGGAGTGGGTAGGCATGAAAAAGAACGTGCCAATTGCTAATATTCAATGTATATAAATTAATTACTCTCTGATTAATTGAGTACAAATTCATTTTATTATTAAGTTGAAAGATTAAAATGTAGGGTCCAAAATTGAACGCGGAATCATAAATGAAGTCAAAGTAGTGAAGCATGCTCATGTGATCTTGTGGAAAGTTGACTTTCTCGTTTAATGTGTTTAATGAATTTTGGTATTATTTGGTGTCGTGGGCCACATGAAGTTAATCGTAATAATAGAACTACAATTATTTATTACACCAAAATTGATTGAGGGTGAGGGCAAGAACAAAGAAAGGAAAATTTCATAGCAACAACCAGTGATCAATTAAGACTATTAATTATATTATTTAAAGATTTTAAGTTTGATCTACCTTGATTTTTAATAAAGATGATATGAAGGCTTATCCATTTATTAATTTTAGGATTTTAAAGGATTAAGTGAGGCCATACAAATTATTTTGGGCATTTTGATCATTAAAAAACAAAAAAAAAAATCATAGTAACCTTTTACAAGAGATTCTGATTTTGCCCAATTATTATTATTAAGAAAGTAGATATTTGAAAGAGAGTTTTGGTCAAAGTCTTCCCTAGCCGTCCCATATAAAAATAATGGAGTAATTTATCATCAAGGATTATTATTATCCCGAGAAAGAAACATTAAATTGAAAATAAAAATTAAGCATCTACATATATAATTAAAATGAATAAGCTTCAACATATATAATTAAAATGAATAATCTAGAAGAAGGTAGAGTAATTAATATGAGTAATATTATATTGACAAATATTTTTTATTAATTTTCTCTCAGAAATGATATATCCTTTCACAAATGTGATAAAATTAGGATAGAATTACGTGTACAAGATTTTATTTGGTGGGGGTGAATGACTTACTGTAAGTTGACCACGTGAGGCACAGGTCAACTTAGTCCTCGTGTTAGGTGACCTGACACAGTAAACTGGACAGAACCAATAATGTTGTCATTATAGTTACCAATCAAAATATTGTAAAGATTTAGGATAGTACAAACCAGTCTATGTCAAATTTGGTTAACTAATAATTAACTAGGATGCTAATTATATCATAATCTGTCTTGTTAAACCTTGTCGTGCCAATCACAGAAACGGCATACCTTAACAGCAACGGACACGGTTTCCCTATATCCTCAAACATAGGCTGAATAATTAATTTCAATCTATTAAATTACTATTATTTTAGAATTTATTCTCTCATTCGTTAATTAAAATCTTTGTTGATGATTGATTTTAACACCATCAATCTTGCACAGCATGTGTAAAGTGTTAAACAAGTCTTAAAAATCACACGTGTTTAATTTGTGAGTTAGGACAAGGTTACAAACACAAGTGAATGCAAAGACTTAATAATAAATAAGACAGAAATTTTTTATAGTGTTCAGATGGTTAAAATGATTCTTACATCCACTGTTTCTTTTATATAAATGTGTTACAAGAGGTAGTATATAATGAACAACGAACATAGGTACAATGATTGTGTACTCAAAGAGAATATTAAGTCAGTCTCTTTCTCGTAGGTTGTCTTTGCTATTGATTGTTATGAAAATCAAAGATTGATCGATCCCGAATTTGTGAGGGAGAGCCATCTATTTATAACTGCTGAATTCAAGGTAATGATTACAAGTTTGCAAGTGGGTAGGTTGTAATACCTTATTTTCTACTAGTACACTTAGAAAATATACTATGAAAAAATATACGTACTTAATAAATGAAAAGTAGCTGGCCCAAAAGGAGGGTTTCTAAGGCTATACCCTTATTAGCTCATATAAATAAACACTCTTCTCCATTTTGCCCTTATACTTTCTTGGAAATACCATCCTTGTCCTTTAATCCTTTACAAATACACCCCCACTCCAATGCATTCTCCTTGAAATTTGCTTGCATTTTACTCCCCACTTTTCCTGCTAATTAGGGGTAGAATGGTCACTTCACCCCTATGAAAATTTCTCTAGAAACTTCACAAGAAAAATCAGTCGACTCTTCGCCCCGGCGAAAAAATACAGAGTGTACGTCGCCGTGGTGAATGTAACACCTGCTCTCTATGACTATTTTTATAATACATACTATGTAAATTATAGATATACATAGCGTACGAAAGATAGTGGGCTCAAATTTTTTGTTTTACTCATAAAAATACAAAATACAATGTATTAAAAACTTTCTACTTAATACAACACATCATAGCTGGTGGACAGTGGTGCCAATACTCTCTGCTCCTCGACGTCCATCCGACCGCTGCTTCTATTTCCTGCAAAACAGAGAAGAACAACGGGGTGAGCACAACAAGGCTCAGTAAGTAAATCTTCTACTACTTGTTCCCGCAACTCACTTTTTGGTTCTTCCTTACTCTATCGTTCTTCTATTTCTAATTCTCACTGTTTTTCTCTCTGTTCTTATTCTCTTTTCTCCTTCTCTTATTCTTACTCCCCTTGAAGGAAAATCATGGTTCTCTCTTAGTCTCATCATACTCACCATGAAGGAAAATCATGGTTCTCTCTCTTATTCTCGTTATACTCTCACTAACCATGGAAGAACTCATGGTGCATGCATATATGAGATGTACATGCAATTAATGCAAAAGAACTGCATGTTTCTTTCTTCTACTCTTTATTCTTACTAACTCAAAACACTCTCATTCTTTCTCATACTCTCTCTCTTTCTATCTCATTCTTTCTCATACTCTCTCTCTTTCTATCTCATTCTTTCTCAAGCTTTCTCATTCTCTCCATTATCTCATTCTCATTTCTCATAATTCATTTCTACTAACTCGCTCTTTGAATGTCACGGCCCCATCTTACCGGAGGCACTGCCGAGACTTCTCCCGCTCTACGTGACTTCTACTGATTCTCTTTTTGTCTCTCTTTCTCATAACTCTTTTCTGTTAACTTTCTGTTGTAGGTCACGACCTTATCTTACCGGAGGAACGACTGGGTACTCATCCCACTCTTCGTAACCCTACTCATTGTCTCTCTTTATTCTTTCTCATGTTTACTCATTCTTCCTCACTTGCATGTCACGGCCTCATCTTACCGGAGGCACGGCCGGGAACTCAACCCGCTCTTCTTGACTTTACTCTTTTTCTCTTTCTGTTCTTTCTATTCCTTTGGAATGTCACGACCTCATCTGACCGGAGGCACGGCTGGGCGCTACCACTCTACGTGACTTCTACTCATTTCTCTACCGATCGGATTTGGTCATGCATGGATTCGGAACCCTTGGCCACATGAGTGTATTCTCTCTCTCTCTCTCTGAATGTCACGACCTCATCTTACCGGAGGCACGGTTGGAACCTCATGTTCCACTCTTCGTGACGGTCACGGCCCCATCTTACCGGAGGCATGGCTGGGGATCACAAAGCACCCACTCTCATGACTTTACTCATCACTCACGGGTTCCCCACCGTACAACCTACTCTATTATCTTCTGTAGCACTTTTCTCTCTTTTATTCGTTAGTGCTTAATCTCTCTTTCTCTTTACTATTAGAGTGTTCTCATTCTCTTTACTCTTAGAGTTGCTATTCTCAACATTCTCTACTCTTTCTCACTCAAACTATTACTCATAGTATAACTTATACTCAAAATACTCTTGCTCAAGCTAATACTCATCTCTTCCTCAAGCTAGTACTCATAGTATAGCTTAACTCTTAGAGTAGTCTATTCACAAAGATCTCTACTCTTTCTCAAGCTATTTCTCAATGCATAACCAATGCATATGAATGACTCATGCTCATTAATGCACTCAAGAAATGCCAACATGCAATGTTGCAAGAATTAAGGTTCATAACTCATTCTCATGCTTCTCTTAGGCATTTCATCAAACAACTCATGTGCATACAAAAACTCTACTTTATTGGAGAACTCTATTTCTTTCTTAGGCCATCCCAAAATGGGAGGAAATTCTCTTGCATGATCTCATTCCCTGTCAAGGAAATACACTTCCAAACATCTACTCCAACCTCTTCGAACCTCAATCAAACTCAACTCATCATCATGCAAGGAGAACACTTCTCATAACTCAAATATATTCACAATCAACATAAATAACTACTCATATCATCTCAATCTCTACACAAGCATAATATAAACATGCATAAAGAAATCTCTACTCATTAGATTCCTTAAATCTC